CTTCCTTCCTTCCTTCCTTCCTTCCTTCCTTCCTTCCTTCCTTCCCTGGCTTGCATGAAAAAATACAACCGACACTTGTGCTGAATTTTTCCTGTGCTGAAGGTTTAAAACAAACAAACAAACCACTCCAAAACTGTGTCTGAATCTTTCTCTCTGGCCCATGATGAAAACCATCTCAGCACAGGAAAAGTTAGCCTTGTAGAACATTGTTGTCCTCTTTTACTTTGGTGGGGAGTAGGAGGTGGAGGTTGGGAGTGGGTGCCAAGGGATACAGCCTTGATGGGAAGACTCTCTTTTCTTCAGCGTTTGGTCAGGATGAACATGCCCATCTCAAATGACGATTTAAGTGTCCACTTCACATCAACGCTAATGGCCTTGATAAGGACAGCCCTTGACATCAAACTTGCATCAGGTAAGGCGATGACTGGCTAGATGACCTCCAAGATCCCTTCCAGCTCTGTTCAGATGGATTGAGGATTTCCCCCTGAAATTAGATCTTGTTTCTTTGCTTTTCTCTAACAGGCATGCTGCAACATCAGTGTGATGCTGAGCTAAGGAAGGAGATCTTGGTGGTTTGGCCCAATTTGTCCTCCAAAACTTTGGATCTGTTAGTGCCACCTCATAAACGTAAGTGCTCCAAACCCTTTTGTGTCTGTGCAAGGGGAAAGAAGCATGAATCGCATCAACGTTATTACTTAATGCTACTCAGAGAGCCAGTGTAGTGTAATGATTAAGCAAGGCATTGGGTTAGAAATCAGGATACTGGGAGTTTTAGTCCCACCTGGGGGATGTGATGGCTCAGGGGCTAAGACACTGATCTTCTCGATCAGAAAGGTCGGCAGTTCGGTGGTTCGAATCCCTAGCGCCACGTAACAGAGTGAGCTCCCGTTCCTTGTCCCAGCAGCTTCTGCCAACCTAGCAGTTCGAAAGCACGTGAAAAATGCAAGTAGGAAAATAGGGACCCCTTTTGTGGGAAGGGAACAGCGTTTCTCTGTGCACCTTCGAAGGCATTTAGTCCTGCCGGTCACACGACCACGGAGACGTCTCCGGACAGCGCTGGACCTTCTTCGGCTTTGGAACAGAGATGAGCACCGGCCCCTAGAGCCGGAAACGACTAGCACGGGTGTGCAAGGAGGGGAACCTTAACCTTTAACACGCAAAGCCAGCTGAGGGACCTTGAACAGTCCTCTCTTTGCAAAGAAGAAGGTAGTGATGACAAACCTCTTCCCAAAAAACTCTTGCCAAGAGGACCTCAAAGTTGCATCCAGGTAGTTGCCAAGAGTCCGAATTGACTTGAAAGCACAAAAATACCACAACGGAAAACCACCAATCCTCCTTTATAAGTTTGTTTTCCTCCAGCAAAGTATCAGAAAAAGGACCAACATTTAATATGTTTGTTGGGTGGAGAACATCCGTCTAGTTAAGAACATAACAAAGCAGTTTTATCCAACTTGGTCCCTTCCAGAGGGAACTTTCTATGTGCATGGATAAGGAGGGTGATGGGTATTGTAGTTTGAGAAAGTGCCAAATTGGAGGACGCTGGTTTGAGTTCAGCTGCAACTTTCAAATGTTTGACTTCTTGACTTGTCATAGAACCTCCAACCGCAGTTCATTTTGTTTCCAATTGCCTCCATATCTTGTGAATTGATTTTCTGCTCTCTGGCTTCTTCCCTGATTAGCTGAAGCCATGACAGTAGGGAAGGTTTATGCAGCCTTGATGATATTTGACTTCTACAAACAAAATAAAAACACTCGTGATACTTCTCACTCAGGGCCAGGAGGTCTCTGTCAGGTAAATATCCATCCATCCATCCAACTACCTACCTCCCTGGCCATGGATTCCATGGGGTTCAGTGCTTCTGTCAACTACAGTCCGTTCTTTGCTATGTCCAAACTAGCAGAAAGACGGGTAATCCAGGCCCAGTTCTGGTCACCGTGATACAAAGAAAGATGCTGAGGCCCTAGGAAGACCACAGAGAAGATCAACAAAGATAATTAAGGGTCTGGAGGCCAATGAATGGTTGAGGGAACTAAATATGTCTGGTCTGTTAGAGAAGGATGAAGGGTGACACAATAAGTGTCTTTTAGTACTTGAGGGCTGTCACAGAGAAGATGGGGTTGACCTGCTCTCTAAAGCCCCCTCTAAAGAGGGCAGGACAAAAAATAAGGGCGGAAGCTTGTTAAAGAGAGATCCAACCTAAAACTAAGGAGAAATGTCCTGACAGTGGGAACAATTAACCGGTGGAATGGCTTGCCTCCAAGTGGTTTTCTTGCAAAGATGTCATTACTCAGTTGTGGGTGCTCCATCAGTTGAGGTTTTCAAGAAAAGACTGGACATTCATTTGACTGGGATAGAATAAGGATGGCCTTAAACAGGGGGTTGGACTAAAAGACCTCCAAGGTCCCTTCCAACTGTGTGAATCTATGAAATCCACTCTCTCCTCTCCTCCTAGACTGGCACTGTTTCCCTTTTCCATCCGCTGAAAGCAGCCCTCGAGCAAAGCCAGACAGGATTCCCGAATGCTTTTCTGCGTCAAAAGAGCTCCGCGTCACTCAACAATGGGGGCGCCCTGTAAGTACTCCCCCTCCTCTTTTTCATCGCTTCAACCTGTTGTGGCCCGACAGCAACCAGCAGAGCTGGCAGTAGATTCGGACAGTGAGGAGGTTGGGGAGGAACCTGGGCCTGTCCTGGAGTCTGGGGAAGGCTCGGGCGAGGGCTCTGCATCAGAGGCAGAGATGGGGCCAGGGCCATCCGACCGTTATCAGCGGCCTTTGGAGTTGGAGATCAGTGAGGCAGAAGAACAGCTGGAGCCTGTTCCCAATATGCCCATGCGCAGAGCATGGGAACAGCTCAGGAACAAGGGTGGACTCGGACGTAAAGGCACAGGTGGATGGTGAATGGCCCCTCCCCTACGGTATAAAAGAGGAGGGAAAGGGGAGTGGGGCTTTGCAGGAGACAATTTGTTCATCCCGGCATGCTTGCCAAGTATTGCGGCGTCTGAGAGATGTCAGCCTGGCCACTCTCCAAGCCTGATAAAGGTCTGTAAGTGGGAACTAGCATGAAAGACTGTTGGCCGGGACTTTGTTGGAGAGGAAACTCATTGTAACTTAAATAAAAGCGGTTTATTGGGATGAGGACTCAGCTTCGTGCTGCTCGGGGAAGACCAGGCCAGAATACAACCTAGCCTAAGGCAGAGAGTTGAACACTTCCAGCTGTGGACAGAGCCAGCGGTTTGACAAAATGGCACAAGTATCCGTTTTGTTGAAGGATGTGAGCCGTTTCCTCCTTCCGGTGTTCCATGTTGCGTCAACCCATTGCTGCTCATCCAGATGAAGTTCTTTGACAGCTTCTCTTCTTGTGTTGCTGTTTTCTAATCTTGTTTTTTTCTTATGACTACAATTGAGCCCAACTTTTCTGTGGCTAAGTGAATTTTGCCCAGTGTTACAAATTTACTTCCCACCATTGTGAAGGGAATAGTTGCAGCTGTGAAGTGAATCTGGTTTCCCCCATTGGGATGCTGCGACTGTCATAAGTATGAGTCAGTTGCCAAGTATCTAAATTTTGATCAAATGACCAGGGGGAGGCTGCAACGGTCGTAAGGTGAGTAGAGTAGCGTGGAATAGAATAAGAGTAAGAGTAAGAATAGAATAGAGGATAGAATAGAGGATAGAATAGAGATGGAAGGGACCTTGGAGATCTTCTAGTCCAGCTCCCTGATGGTCATAAGTCACTTTTTTCAGTGCCATTCCAGCCTTGAATGTTCACTAAATGAACTGTTGTAAGTCGAGGACCAGCTATGGTTGCATACAACTGATTCTGAAGAGAACATCTAAAGATAAACCTAGAACATTCCAAGTATCACTGGATTCCAATTGCAAATAAGCAAAAAATGCTTCTGTTTTCTGGTGCTTTCCCAGCCCTCACTAGGACAACCTGTCTGTGTTTTTTAAGAGCCTCATCTCTTCTTTTGCAACAGGCCAATGCCAGAAGGAGGAGGAGGAGGAGGAGGCATCAAAGAATCGGTTTCCTGGGGGATCCAGCACACCCAGAACATGTTTTATGAAACTAGGGCCCCCGCCTTTGAACGAGGCCATTCGGAGGAAATTCCCATCCAGCAGGCAAGCAAGAGGATGGAGAGACAGCATGCAGGAGGAGAGGAACGCATAAGAATTTTCCTAGAAGATTTCCTAGAAGTTTTACTTCTTCACTTTACCTCTCAGTTTGGCCCTACATATTTAGCAGAAACCCAAATTTTGGAATTCTTTCATCTTTTAAAAGAGTGTTGATTGAACGAGCTGCTTCGTTTGCAACAGAAAAAAAGGGGGGAAATTTGGGATTCCTAGATGACTCAAAGTGATAAGGAGGGGGGAGAGCATAATGCAATAAATTAAGAAAATTTGGAGCTCAAGGTTGAACTGTGGGGTCCTGGGTGCCCTTTGAGCTTTCATTACCCAACTAGGTAACATTATCAGTGCTAGAAAGGAGGGAAGTTTGAGGGGACGGGGAGGAGGAGGAGGATTCTTGAGACCATGGTGCTCTCCAAGCTTGGTTGTTTTCTTGCAGACGTTTCGGTACCAAACTAGGTAACGTCATCAGTCCTAGAAGGGAGAGAAAGCAAACTCCCTTTTAGCACTGAGGATGTTACTTTCATGGGTCATGAAACATCTGCAAGAAATCCACAAAGCTCAGAGAGAACCAAGGACCCTGGAGATCACAGACAAGCCAGCTTCTCTTTTCTACTGTGGTTCATCCCATCTTCTTGATGGTCACATTCTGCACCTTTATTTTTTACTTGTCACTCATCATCTACATTTTTATTCTATGGTGGCATAGAATTATAAACTTAGACAGCTTATCATTCAAGGGACACAATATCAAAATAAAGTGGGGATGGAGAAGAAGAGGAAGAGGAAAAATAAAGGCGCCAGACCTGTAACATAAAAACACCTCCTACAGGGGGGCTTTGTGATGGAGCCTGGGCACCAAGGACAATTGTCACTATAGGATGGAGAGATGAAGGCTGCTGATGTAGACAGACAACAACTGCAACTACAGGGAGTTTTTGCAGGCAACTCTGTCCTTGGAGTACCCGTCGCAAAGGATCTAAGTGCTAGAGCCCACTGTAACTCCATGGCCAAAAGGCATGAAGAGTTGTTCACCTAATCCTAGGTAGCTTCTTCTCTGGTAATATTGTACTGCTAACTAGAGCATACAAAACCTTTGCTAGACCAATTCTCGAATACAGCCCCTCCGTCTGGAACCCACATTGTATATCAGACATTAATACAATTGAGCGAGTCCAGAGATATTTCACGAGACGAGTCCTCCCCTCCTCTGCTCGCAACAGAATACCCTACACCACCAGGCTTGAAAGGCTGGGCTTGGACAACCTTGAGCTATGCTGCCTTTGGTCTGACCTGAGGGTAGTACACCACATTATCTGCTACAGTGTCCTACCTGTCAATGATTACTTCAGCTTCAACCACAGCAATACACGAACACACAATAGATATAAACTCAAGGTAAACCGCTCCAAACTTGATTGCAGAAAATGTGGCTTCAGCCACAGAGTGGTCAGTGTCTGGAATGCACTACCTGACTCTGTGGTTTCTTCCCCAAAACTTTAATCTCAGGCTGTCCACTGTTGACCTCACCCCATTCCTAAGAGGTCTGCATAGGGCGTGCGAAAGCGCACCAATGTGCCTACTGTCCCTGTCCTAATGTCTCCCTTTTATTCATACCCATTTCATGTCATCATAATCATGTGCTAATTATATTTGTTATCTAAAACATGTTTGACAAATAAATAAAATAAAATAAAACATTTTGTAGGCAAAAGGCAATAACTCCTGTTATTCTGTCTTTGTATTTTCCAGGTTGTAGAAATGCGAGAAATCAGCCCAACTTTAGCCAATGGGGCACATCAGCCTGGCCTGGAAAGCCAGGGGCGAGCGGCCTCCATGCCTCGCCTGGCAGCCGAAACTCAGGTGAGCGCTCGGGTCATAATCCGGGACCCTTGGTGCTCTTTCCAGATGGGCGATTTTCTGGCAGACGTTTCATTACCAGACAAGGTCATATCATAACAGGGAATGAAAGGCCAACCGGAAAGAGCTATCCAGACCCTCCAGTTTCCAAGGCATAACTCTGGATGTTTCCAGAAGCATCTGGTTAGGGGGCTCCTAGAAGCCACCCACATTTTGGGCACCGCCTTAGCCTTTCTCCAGAAAGAGGAGCTTCCCTAAGGCTCCTTTCTCATCATCGGGACAGGGAGAGTGACGTAGATGTTGCCGAGGGGTTCAGAGCCCATCGGTGTGCTTTTCGAGACCGCCTGATCTACCTTTCCTGGGGAAATACGTTGGAAAATCCCATTGGGGGCATATATACTTAACCATTGCCATAAAACTATGACAGGCATGAGAAGTGCCTGTCCTTTAGAGTGGCGCGGTGGCCTAGAGGTGGAGCTCTCGCCTCACAATCAGGAGGCTGTGAGTTTGATCCTGGGTAGAGGCAGATATTCCTCTTTCTCTGGGTACACTGAGAATCGATCTGCAGAACAAAACTTCACATTGGTGACTGGGAAGGCATCCGGCCAGTAAACACTCTGCTAGCTCCATTCAGTTGCCCAGATTCCACCCCAATGCAAGGGATTATGGGGCCGTTAAATGAAGAGAATGATGAGAAGTGCCTGTTGTTTCATTGCCCAACTAGGTAACCTCATCCGTGCTAGCGGTGGTAATCGCCAGTTGGCGATGGATGAATCTGGATGGCAGCTGGCTTGTGGAACGTTACCTTGCTACCTGAGCTCACTGAGAACCTGTTTTTCTTGCAGCTTCCTTTGAAAACCCTGCTCATCCCACCATCTTTTCCTCATGAATAACCGCTGACTAATGCTCATTTCTGTCTCTTGTCTCAATTCACCCCCCGCTTCCTTGGCTTTCGTTGATCTCATTCTCTGCCCCTCCCTCCCTCCTTCCCTCCCTCTCCTTGGTCATCTCGTCTGTCACGTGCCTCCTGGGATGTCTGACTGTTGCTGGTTTGGGACCCATGCCATTTTTTTCTTGCAGAGGAGCAAAACACGGTCACCGGGGCGATATCTATCAGTATGTAGTTTGTTTGAACCCCCCTGTCCTGTAAAATCTAGTCGAGGAAGGGTTTAAGTGGATCGCCTTCTTTGTGGCTTTTTTCCTTAAGATGGAAGAAATCACACCACCTGGAGGCACTAAGTCTTCATAGCTCAGGGTTGAATATTGGGGTCCTGGGTGCTCTCTGAGCTTGGTGGTTTTCTTGCAGGTGTTTCATGACCCAATTTGGCAATATCATCAGTGCATCATCAAGCTCAGAGATGCGAAAGACTTTTAATGGAAAGGTTTCGTAGGAATTAACTTAGAACTAAATATCCATGGAGTTTCTTAGTCATCCATCAGGTCAGGGTTGTCCCCAAGGTGCTTTTTCAAGAGGCAACTGGACTTTCTGGGTTTTCTTTGAAGACATTTAGCTTCTTATCCAAGAAACTTCTTCGGTTCACCTTCAGTTCACTTCAGTTCAACTGAAGAATCTTTTTGGATGAGAAGCGAGATGTCTTCAAGGAAAAACAGTTGCCTGTTGGGGAAAAAAAACCACCTTTGGGACTTAGGAGGAATTTCCCAACATGGAGAACAATTAACCAGGGGAGCGGCTTTCCCTCCAGAAGTTGTGGGGGCTCCATCACTGGAGGCTTTCAAGAAGAGGTTGGATGACCGTTTGTCTGCAATGGGATAGGGCGGGTATCAGCAACCTGCAGCTCTGGAGCCGCATGTGGCTCTTTGGGCCCTCTGCTGTGGCTCCCTGTTGGGTGATCCCACCACTGGATGGCCACGCCCCTCCCCCTCCTCTCCCAGTCACTCCTCGCCTGGCCTGAGAAGGTAAAACACAAAAAACAGAAATGGGAGGGAGAGAGGGAGGGAGAGAAAGAGAGACCCATTTCCCACAGAAAACATTGGGAGCCACAAAACCTGGATAGGCGTGGCAGGGAGGTGTGTGTCATGTGACTGGGTGGGAGTTCAGTTGGCTACTCCCACCCAGGTTTTGAGGCTCCCAGTATTTTCTGTTTTGTGGGAAATGGGACCAAATGGCTCTTTGAGTGTTTAAGGCTGCAGACCCCTGATATAGGGTGTCCTGCTTGAGCAGGGGGTTGGACTAGAAGACCTCCAAGGTCCCTCCCAACTCTGTTCTTCTACTAAAACAAATGCACACGGTCCAGAGGTGTGAAGGGAGAGATGCTATCTTTGGACGGTGTACATCTGATCCACTTCTCTGCATTCTCTTTCTCTCTCTTCCTCCTTCTTGCCACAGCCCATTCCAGACAACAGCCCCATGAAGCGCTCGGTCTCCACGCTCAACCCACAACGTCCACGTGCCACACATCTTTACGAACATCCCCGGCCAGCTGAACACACCCACCACCATCATCACCATCGTTGCCACCGGCGGAGAGAGAAGAAGCAGAAGTCGGTGGACAAGCCACCCAATCACTTGATTGAGGGTGAAGCTCCTGGTAAGGGCGCTGGGGTGACCCAGGGCACGGCACAGAGGGAACTGTCATGCCCCCATCGGAGTCTGAATCTGAGAAGGAAGACAAACAGCTGACAGGGAGCGGGAGAGTGGCTCCATTGGCTGTGGAGGAAACCGGGGAAGAGCAAAGTCAGGCTGGGCAGAGCAGGAGAGAGGTAGAACAGGGGAGAAGGGAGTTCAGAGGAAGACCAAGGCCCACCCCTTCCTCATCCCAAGGCACGCAGGGAAAAACGCAGAAGAGAACAATGTGGGTTGCGTGGCTTACGAGGGAGGAAAGGGCCATGATGCTTTTCACAAGGCTGTCCTGGGGAGGGAGTTTAAAGGAGAGGCAGTTTGGGAGGAGCATTTGTTGGAAATGTTGAGTTTATCTCCTGTTGGCTGCTGTTATGGGAGTTTCTGGCATCCTCCCAACTGGTTTGATTTACTGCCATGTTACTTCACTTCTGGAACTCCTTATCTTGCCCTGCCGGATTTATTACCTTTCTTGTTTTACTGAATTCATAGTTTAAAGTCTTCTGTTTATAACGTTTTGGACTGGAATATCTGTAGTCAAGGGCTGTTGCAGGTTCCTGGGAGAGTTTTTCTCTAGACCAGAAGGTAACTGGAACATTGAGAGCAAAGTTGGAGCTAATAAAGGATCTCTTACTTATTATTCTGGCTGTGTTGCCTTTGTGCTCGCCCTGGGTCATCACAGGTAACACGGGCAGTTAGCAGTTCAAACTGCCCCTTTATTGCTCCAAATGTTCCCCAAATGCTCCCACATTTCTGGCAAGCCTCAGAGCAAAATAATGACACACACACACACACACCTCCAGCAGCCTCTGGCTATGGGCACCATGGCTGCAAAGCAAGAAATCCAGAAAGAATGCAAGGAATCCAGGAAAGTTCAAAGGTCGGCTCTCAACACTCCAGGAATTCAGTGTTTGTTACCGACAAATGCCCCTCCCCGCAGCGTCTCCTGAAGTCTCAGTCCCCAGATATGCCTTGTGAAGAGGGGCGGGGCGCTCTCCTCTCAAGTAGCTGGGTTAGTCTGCGCTGTTCTCGCCTTCTCTCCACTCTCCATGCTCGAGGATCAGGAGGGGAGCAGTCCTTGCTCATTGCCTTAGTCCTGTCTCTCAGGTTCACTGCTTAGCCTCCCCTGGTCATCCTGCCTCCCTGCCTACAAGCCGTCCCAATCCTGAAAGGCTCTGGCCTGACTGGGCCTGCTCCTCCCCATTTTCCTCCCAAGCCAACAAAGCCACCCCCTCGATCTCTGTCAGCTCCCATTCTGGCTCGTCTTCCTCCACAGATTCAGGCTTCGATGGGGGCATGACAGGCGCCTTCTATTTCTCCGGCTTGGTTCTCGTTGTAGAATTGGCTGAGCATGAAATTTTGTTAACAGCTTGCTCCAAGTTGGATATCTTTCAGATGTGTGGCCTTCCGCTCCCAGAATCCTTAGCAATGGTTGTGCTGCCTCTAGGATTCTGGGAATTGAAATACGTATGCTTACATAGCTAAGAAGATCTGCCTTCCATTCTATAATCTCTTTGTCTCTCGAACTCGATTGTGTATTATATTGGAGAGTCCCAATCCAACCTTCCTAGCAGAGAGGAATATGTCAATGTTGCTTAGATTTTTCAAATTAAAAATTGGATTCATTTTAAAACATCAAGTTAGAGTCACTCAATTCAGTTGATTTTGCTGACTTGCATTTATTCTACAGTGGTACCCAATGAAAAGACTACTTGCTGTCTACTTGAGGGACCATCATAGAGACGAGAGGGCTCCGTTTTCAGTTGCAATAGCCTCCTGAAACCCTCTGCCAGCTAAAACAGCTCAGGGACGATGTGCTTGATCCTCCCGAGTGCCATTTTGGCTGGCAGAGGCACCACGGGCCTGTCCTTCGCTGTTTCTGCGGCGAGCCTGTGGGCCAGATCTAAGCCGCCCGTGGGCTGGATCCAGCTCACAGGCCTTGAGTTTGACACCCCTGGACCGAAGACCTCCAAGTCCCCTGCCACCTCTGCTAGTCTGCATTCTGTATTCTGCACCTCTGTTGGTAGGTCTTCATGCTTAAGGATGCTTAGGAGGAGAACCTTACTTGAGGGTGACTTGCTTACAGTGGTTGGAATCTGCTGGCTTCTTGTTGTCTCCCCAGCAGGAGAGGGCCCCCACTCCAAGTCCAAAAGGCAGGAGCGGGGCCGGTCCCAGGAACGGAGAGTCCATTCTTCCTCTTCCTCTGAAAAGCAACGCTTTTACTCCTGCGACCGCTATGGGAGTCGGGACCGTTCTCAGCCCAAGTCCTCTGAATGCAGTCGGCCTCCATCTCCTGGTGGAGGGCAGGACCACGAGACCCAGAAACAGGTGAGAATGGGAGCGGGGGGGTGGAGAGAGAGAAGGAGTGAGAAAGAGGGTTCCCTAGGACCTCTGATCAACGTGGCCAGCCTTTGCGGGTGGTTGGAGTCAAGTTCTCTCATCCCCAGAGAGTGGAGGCACTATGGTGGCCTTTCCAAGCAGAATCATGACCAGATGCGCTAATTTTAACTATGAGAATAGATGAAAGGACTTGAGGTTGATCTGGAAGCATGCAGTGGACCTCCTGATTTTTCAAGGTGGATCACCTGGCTTTCCGGTCTGCTGGATGGTCTGCTTCCCCAGTATTGTCTTACTGGTTGTCTTCATTTGAATCCTTTCTCCTCCTGGTTGGTTTCCTGTATTTTTCTGTCTGTTCAAATGTTTCTGGAGCAGCCTCCCTGTCCGTGACTGTGCACGTCTAAACTCTCTTTTTCTTTTTCTTTTCTTCTTTTGTTTTTATCCTATGATACATTTCTCTGTTCATATCATTCATCCTTCTGTCCATTGTGTTTTGACACTCTATTCCAACATGTGACTCTGTGTTTGTCTGGTATTCTTATTATTGCTCACTGTCATTCTTCTCCTCCTTCTCCTATTTCTCCTTCTCTTTCTCTTTCTCCTCCTTCTCCATATCTTCCTTCTCCTTCTTCTCCATATCTTCCTCCTCCTCCTCCTCCTCCTCCTCCTGGTTTTTGTTTTGTTCATTTACTTTCTTCCAATCTTCATGTAGGGCAGTGGTTCAGTTAACGGGAGCCCCCTGCTGTTGACCTCTGGTGCTAGCACCCCATGCCGTGGTCGGAGGCAGTTGCCGCAAACTCCACTGACTCCACGTCCCAGCATTACCTACAAGACTGCCAACTCCTCGCCTGTGCATTTCTCTGGGTTCCAGACTGGCCTGCCAACCTTCTCCCCGGGACGCTTGAGCCGGGGTCTCTCTGAGCACAATGCTTTGCTGCATGGCGACTCCCAGGGACCCTCCCCAACCTTGATGGCACGGATCGGTTCGGACCCTTACCTGGGACACCGAGAAGAGAGTGACAGTCCATACCATACGATGCCTGAGGACACGCTCACCTTCGAGGAGGCAGTGGCCACCAATTCAGGGAGATCCTCCCGGACCTCTTACGTCTCCTCTCTAACGTCCCAGTCCCATCAAGTCCGCCGCGTTCCCAATGGGTACCATTATGTATTGGGACTAAGTGCTGGCTCTGGCACCAGCACGAGGGCCCGTAGCTATTACCATGAGCGAGACGAAGATGATTGGTGCTAGCAGGACAAGTACCCGGTCACACACTGGAGGTCGATGAGTTTTATCATCCAGACAACCGCCATGTAGATGTGCATACTACGTCTTTGCATCCAGCCCTGGGACATCAAGGCTGCCGGCGGGGGTGGGGGGGGAGGAGAGAAGATACAAGCAGCTGCCTCTCCGTGGAATCAGCCCTGTTGAAATGATCCTAGGGCCGTGCACCTCCCTGTTGGAAACAACGCCTGGTTTCTCTCTGTCCCCAGTTTCCTCTTTTGCACTAGAGAGCTGTTGATCTGCCAGGAGAGGCACCTGGTTCAGAGGGCCTTGGTGGAGCAGGCGCCCTTCTCTCCTGCTGCCATGTCACGGGAGATACCACCTTCCACCCCAAGTTACAAGGCTACCACAAAAGCCCAGGGGGAAAGCCCTAAAGACTGGACTCTGCACAGTTGGGGGTGAGCAGGTGGGGAAGACAAAAGAACCCCCCACACACACACACACACCCTGATGTACAAAGAACCAACCTCCGTTTTATTGTGTCCCCATTTTAAGGAAGGGATTTTATCCAGCTGGATCTCAACCCTTGGCCGACCGTGACCCTTTTCAACCGAGCCAGGCATGGAAACTTCCAATGGATCTGAGCACCATACAGCTACGCCCAATTTCTTGGTCCACCCTTTGGTCTCCACAGTGTATTATTTTGGGGGAGTCCTTCCCACCAGCGTTTTGGAAAAGCCCTCCAAGAGAGGATGGGTTTTTGGCAAGGATGACATCTCGGTTCTCGTTCTTGCTGTTGGACTGTTCTCCTTGGGGCCAGAGAGTTGGTGGCCCCCATCTTAATTTTCATCTTGTTTACCGATCTGAGCGAAGGATGGGCATGAAGAAGAAGAAGAAGACGAAGGAGGAGGAGGAGGAGGAGGAGGGTGGGGTGGGCAGAATGGCCGCGTTTTATATTGAGCTGTTGGATAACCTTTTCCTTTCCATTGTGTCCACTTTCGGGGGCAGGGGGTGGGGGTGAACTGTATAGCGAAAGCGAGAAAGCAAGACAAGAACACAGCCAAAATGCAGAGTCCTCTCCAGAGGAGAATTCGTCTCGCCTGGCCATTCCAAGTTTTCCTTTCCTTCCTAAAGGCGCCCATTCTTTACTTCTAAGTGCCTAATCTTTGGGAACCTCTTGTGGCGATGAGGCAGTTGTGGTTATATTCCCACCCACCCACCTCTAAAAAAGAATAGCTAAGAGGCAGGAGGAAGGGTTGACCAGCTTCTCTGACCTTCTGGCATGGCTTTTAGTGGGCTCTCAACATCATCCTGAGCTTGATTTGATCTTTTCACTTTGCAAGTCTGCAGAAGGGATTTAGAAAATCAAATCAAATAAATTCAAGTTTTGCTTTAGGACGTCCGATGGGTCCTGGAAGGTGCAGAGAGAAGCCTTCTGTGTAAGGATGGAGGCCTTTGCAAAACCCAATAAAACCAAGGGGGAAGGGATGCTTCAGCTCCTCGGATTTAAATCCGCGTCTTGGAGACTGGATCTCGGGAGCGCTTCGGTAGGGGGCGAATCCTTCGCCTGACGGCATTTGGTTGGAGTTAATTCTGATTCTCAGGGATGAGATTCCGTTTTTATTTCTTGTCTCTCAAGCCCCATTTTGGGTCTGTATGCTTGTCTGTGTGTCTGTGTTGTTTTTATTTTAATTTTTTTAATGTCCTGCACGCACAAGGTTTAGTGTGCATGCGTACACTCGTTCCGAATTCAGGAAGTCTAGTCTTGTTAGGGAATCAAAGCAGAGGTGTCTTCAGCAGGTTCTGAGCGGTTCTGGAGAACCGGTAGCTGACATTTTGAGTAGTTTGGAGAACCAGCAAATGCCACCTCTGACTGGCCCCACCCCCATCTCTTCTCTGCCTCCCATCGAGTCCCAGATGATCGGCTGGGTCTCCTTTGGTTGCCCTGCACAGGAGAACGGAGCTGGAAAGCAGGTTAGTGGGGTGGGGAGGGAAGGAGGATTTTGCAGTATCCTTCCCCTGCCACGCCCACCAAACCACACCCACCAAGCCACACCCACAGACCTGGTAGTAAAAGTGCTTGAATCCCACCACTGAGCCAAACCCTTGCTTTGAAAGATGCCAAACTGCTGCTCTGGAAGATGTTTGGAAGACACGACCCATTTCATTGACGGAAGATACCTTCAGCCCAAAGCAGCTGAGGTTCTGGGCAAGGAGGAGGTTAGGAAGAGAGAAGGAACAGAGCCAAAATAATTGCCAGAAGTGAACTGCTGGGTTCTGGTTTTTCTTTGGAGATGTTTTACTTCTCATCCAAGGAGCTTCTTCAGAGAAGCAAAATGCCTCCGAAGAAACACCAAGAAGTCCAGTTGCCTCGGGAAAAGAGACAACTTTTGGGACCTGGGTGGCCGAGAACCTCCATAGACATTTAGCTATTCCTGCCCATCCTTTCCCAGACCAGGAATTGACTCCCAGGCCAAACCAAAGCTTTTCAGGAGCCATGACTTGCACCACCCAAAGGGCGGGTGGGGGGGGGGAGCCTTGCCTGCAGCAAATGCAATTAACTCCCCCCCCCCACAAAAAGGTTGGAACCCCTTGCATGAAACAATGTTATAATGCTAGGCACAAACAGGGGCTTGGTTTTGCACCCAACTTGCGCTTTAGTTTGAGACGAAAGTGTCCTGTGTAGCTTTGAAAGCAGATACAGCTGGTCCTCAACTTACGGCCACAATTGAGCCCCACATTTCTGTTGCTAAGTGAGGCAGTTGTTAAGGGAGTTTTTGCCCCTTTGTCAGGATTCTGGCAGTCACCCCCATTTAAATGCTGAGTCTTGAGACAAACTTCCAAAACTAAACAGGATTTATTTGGGAGTTAACATGCCAGCACTGCCTGGGTGTAGCCAACTCTGAGACACATCATTCCCTGCCACCCTGGACCCTGGACTCCCCCTTGACTTTGCTTGCCAAATGGTCGCAAAAGGGGGCAACCATCATAAATAGGAGTCAGTGGCCAAGCAGCTGAATTTTGGTCAGGTGACCCTGAGGATGCTGCAGCGGTCATAAGTGTGAGAAATGGTCCTTAGTCCCTTTTTCAAGGCTGTTATGACTTTGAACAGTCACTAAATGAACCATTGTACGTCAAAGACTGCCTGTATATTCATCCCAGTCTTTCATTTAAAGAAACATTTTGCTTTAGTTTAAAAGCATTTTCCAGGTCCACCCACTTTTAAAGAACACTGCAAACCCACAGTAGTTAATCGTAGGCTAATTATTCCAAGAGGTAATATTATATTGTAGAACGGATTATATATGATATATATTTTTGCTAGGGCCCACATAGTTTTCTTTAGGCAAAGCGAGTAGAGTTGTCCTTATTCCTGAAAATATTCCTTCCCGGAAAGATCAGATACTCCCTCTCTCCCTCTCTCTCTCTCTCCCTCTCTCTCTGTCTCTCCCCCCCCCCCCCCCCCCCGCCGCTTAGCTTGGCAGTTTTAAAGAGAAAGTTTAAAAGTTGCTCCTAGATTGAGGATAAATATAAAACTTGGTATTTCAGCACTGGTCATTCCATATTTTACATGCAAGCTGCCATAAACAAAATCCAGGAAAACTGGGGGAAAACTCAGCCCCGCCAAATGTGCCATCAAAGTCAAATCGCACTAAAATCCAATCCTAGTTCTCTTCTCCCCACCCCCCTTTTTTAGGGGGGGTAACTTAAACTCAAAGCAAAGGGACTTTTTAATTACTGCTTTTTCAAGCCAATTGGAAATGACTAACCTTTGCCATTCCCGTACAATTTTTCTGGAAAATGGCTCATTCTACGGCTAACTCTTTTTCCTATATTTTTCAACACTGGGCAGAAAATGCCCCTACTGATGGATCGGGGGCATTACAAGTATTTCAACACTATTTTATTTTTAAAATGCAGAGTGATTTAGCAGCTGGTAAAAAGGTGCCCCAAAGCCCAACTTCAAAAATGCGATTGCTAAGAGAAACGATATCATTTGATCTCAGAGCCTCCTTCAATGATCAACTGGATGACTTATCCAAGGGGATCAGTTGATTGTCGGGGAGGGAATCCAAGCAGTTTTAGTCCTAAAAACTGGGGGTCAACGGAATGGAGCCTTACCTTCGGGAATTCAATTCCTCTCTCTTTTAAAAGCTGCATTTTCCAGTCTCTGATCTCCAAATAATCTCATCCCTACATTGCGTGTTTGTGTATGGATGCTTGCATGTGTAACACGTAAATAGGAGCACTATTAATTTTACTTTGGGCCTTAGAGCCTTCCGATTGCGCGGTCCAACAGAAGTGCAGGTGAAATGTTGGATATTATAAGAATGGAAACAACAACAACAACAACAATAATAATAATATGAGGGCATCTTCAGAACTGCCAGAATTAGCACACAGGGCAACAAATCTTTTTCCTGATAGTTTCCCCTTTAGCGTGGGAACTAGGCCTCAACTTAAGACCATAGCCGAGCTTGAAATTTCTGCTGCCGAGCCAAGGCAGTTGTTAAGCGAGTCTTGCCCCATTTTCATGACCTCTTTCTGCCACAGTTGTTAAGCAAATCCCTGCAGGGGTTGAGTGACTCTTGCGGTCCTTAAGTGAATCTGGCTCTCCCCATTGACTTTTACTTGTAAGAAGATGGCTGGGAAGGTTACAAAGGCTGATCACATGACCCTGGGACAGAGCAACTGGCATAAGTACATGCCAGTTGCCAAGCATTTTGGTCATGTGATCACGGGACGCCACAACGGTCATATGTCATCATCTTTCCAGTGCTGTTGTGACTTCAAACGATCACCCAATGAACGGCTGTAAATCAAGGACCTCCTGTGGGGAATCTCTTTTCAAAATGCAAGCAGCTCTTTCTAAATTTGCATTTGGGGCATCCAAATTGGCCCAGACAAATTGCCTGGTGGTCTCTCATCCGGGATGAAGAATAGAGTGGCTTGATGGAGATCAATTTTTTTCTTTTTAATGGAGGATATATGCGGGAAACCAATTACAACCGAGAATAGTTCATCCTTCTTGGGTGGACGCTGCATTTCTTTTTTCTAAAAAATATTATGATGATAATTTTTAAAAATGCAACAAAATAAAACTAGGGCTATGCAATGAGAGAGGTACTTTTTTTTCCCCATAACTTGAGAATGGGAGCGAAATCCATCAAGCCATATGAGGCCCTCATTGTATTTTACAACTTAACCGGTTGGCGTTTTTCCTTTCCCTTTTCCAGGCAAAAGCATGACTGTGACCAAATCTTTTCTACCTTTTACCAATAGGAAGGCACAAAATACTTTCTTGGGGAAAAAAATCATTGTGAATGGGTTGGTTGGTTGGTTTTATTCTGTAAACTGCTGTCCTGCATTCCCGTTTTTTCTTATTAAACCAGTATAATGCAACAATCCTGTTGAATTGTAAGTGGCGTTCGCAGCTGCTAAGTTACGGATAATTGAATAATTGAATAACCGTATTTGGGGGGGTGATGTCATCAGGGCGATGTCCGGGATAAGGATGCCCACCAACAGTGCCACTTGTTGAGCTGCGTGGAGCGGTGGCTTTGGTAACTGGCTTTCTGCTGCTTCAGAGAATCCACCCTGGTCTCTTTTCGAGGCACACCCAAGGAGTCTCTTCCAGAGATTGTGGGGGTCATCAAGGGAGGACTTTCAAAGAAACACGTGGGACCAAAACGAGCAGGCACTCCCCCTCCCCCAAGAGGAGAAGCTACAGATTTTGCCACCAAGGGAGAGAGAAGTTGCTGAGAATTCACAGGCTCAGTGGGAAAAACACGTCGTTGAGCAAAGTTGGGTCATCAGCCTGCCCTTCACTGGGCAATTTTTACTTGAGGTAGTCTTCAGTCTTTCCTTGGAGGTTGACCTT